CCCGTGTTGCCACTCGAAGATTTTGCTCTCCTTTGCTCTTAAACAACAATACCGTTATCGTGTACTGTACCAACAAGACATTTTCTAACATCACAAACGGTTTGAAAACGACTTTATCTGTTGACCAAATCCAATAAAAAATTCACTTCGTTGTCCTACAAACTTTATATAATTTGACCGACAAATATAATTTCAACAACATAACTTATAATAATAATAAGTTTATTGTGAATTATAATCGATTATACATAGTAATCTAAATAAATTATTCTTAAAATTATGATTAGATAAGTTTATTTAGATTAGTTAAAATTTGGCGTGTTCATTATTGTTATATCTTTCGTTCAACTTTTTAACCAGAGCTATCTCGAGGGAGTTCTATCCATTCACTATATTTGATAGAATATTTCAGTCGGCCATTTTAGAACATAAAATTCTTTTGGAAAAGACGTTTGAAAGAAGGTCAAAAGAAAAAAAATACAAACGACAATTTTATCTTATCCATTGTTATTTGTTTTTAATCTCCAGGTCCTCTCTGTTTGGCCCAGTATACATTTTCATCGTATGATTATTTTGATCTCAAATTTATTTATTTGTTTTTAGATAAGCTTCCATTAAAATACATAATTAAAAAGTTCTAAGTAGCAGTTCATTTTGCAAAATAAAATCATACACAAGTACTTTATCCTTTTGTTGACACACATCCGGCGAAGAATAAAATAATTTAAGTTTTCATTATAAATTTAACTTAAGAAAAAAATTTCTTGAATGTTATCATATCATCTAATCATTATGTACAACCATAATATTTTCTATTCGTACTTTTATTGTCTATATATTCTTTTTTTTTAAAGAAAATATAGTTTAAAAGTTCAACAACGCAGATGTATAAAAGATGTATACAAAAAGCTTTGGGTTTTATTTCTGTAGAGGTAATTCAACTTTGAGTTATCATCGCCATCTCCTTAGCCTCTATCTCGACTATTTGGGGTCGGCTCTACCTTAATAATTTGATAGAATTTTACACTGATAATTTAACTATGAGTGAATTAAAATATTAAATAATAAATATTTTTTAAGTGATTTGTCCTTGAAACAAGAAAACTTGACTTTTTGGTCGACTTTTCAATATTTATTCAAAAGAAAACATTTTATTGGTAATTACTACTTTAAACGAGATATTCGCCATTCTATTTGTATTCGAAAGCATCGCGTGTACAATTTCTGAACATTAGTGTGACATTCATTTATTTGTTACACGTGAAACATCAGAAAGTAATCACGTGCGTGATAAGTTTTCTAGAACTGTGTGGTCCCTGATGAAACACCAGAGGAAAAAACTCGGTCATGAAATTGATACATTTTCATTGAAAATGAACAACTCGAGTAACTCAATATCTCTCAGCAAGTACGATGTACCTACGCCCGGCTGCTGCTCTTACAAGACCTCGTTCAAAGGAGTATTTAATTACTTGTATTTTGTGTGTATAGTGTTCAATACACAGTCCATCACAAACTAGCGTTTTGTCTACTAACGTTTTAAAAAAAACAATTAATACTCTTATTTGCACTGGTCGTTGTGTTGATAACTTAATCATGTGATCATGAAACGCCATCCTAATTTTAACACATCATCATACACGAAACGCTATCTAGTATACAAAAGATAATAAGTAATTTTTGTACACTCGATGGCATATCTCGTAACGACAAATGTCACATTTAAAATGTTCGATTATTATTTTAAGGCGTTTGAGTTAGGCAATTCACGTATCGTGTTCGAACTTAACGTGGTATACGTATTATATGCAGCGCATGAAAAAACCGTTGAAAATCGCCAATTAGAACGACGTTGAGCACCATATGTTCACATGTGCACGCAACAGTGACTACATAAAGTTACATCCTGTTTTTTCACTTGGGTACATTTTTATTTTCGTACAGTGTTTACAAGCTGTTTCACTGCGCTGATTAATAACGTTATTTTTGAAATTTCTATTGATTTACCGATAAATAATGAAGTTCATTAAATTTTATTTTATTTTACTGATAACGTTTGGTCTAAAAAAAAAAACAAAGTTCTAACATTTTTTATCGACATCATTTAGAAAGATTTTGAAAATAACACAATGTGTAATATAATAATAAGAAATTGTTCACGAAATTAAAATAAATATTTAAAATAAGCCATTGCAATTTTTATTCTGAAATCATTTGAAAAGATGATTTTACACACTTGCCTAATCATTATCAAAGAGTGAAGAAGAATTTAATAATTTGGATCACTGTTGCGTAGTGATGGGCATTATTGAATAATGACTATCCTTAGAGAGTATTTTTAGTTTATTCAAATCGATAGTTTGAGTTATTCGAATTATTATTCAAACAATGCTTAATGTATAATATAAAATTATTTGAATAATCTGTATCAATGTTATAAAATTATAAGAGCTTAATGATGTAAAAAAAATAAAAATGTATGCAATTTATTATTCAATCATTAATAAATCATTTTAGATACTTTATACAAGTAATTTATTAATCAAATAATTAGTCGATAGTTAGACATGATAATAGAATAATTATAAATGATAGTTTAAATTATTCTATTGTGTACATCTTTACAGATACGTTATTAACGTCTTCTTTTAATATGATACAGTACGTTTATGTTGATCTTTAGTTACAATTTCAATATAGAATGAGATTAAAGCAAGTTCTTATTCTGTATATACAGAAAATCTAGATTCTGAGTCGAGCCCTCGCTCATCAGTTGTATAAGTTGCTAAAGAACTAGGGCATCATTTTATGGTTACTTTACAAAATAATAAAATAAGGAAAAAAAAAAGTTTTTTCCGTCGTTGTAAGCCATCCATTGAAAACATCTAGAGGCATAATTGTTTTTGTGTAGTTTACATAAATATGGCCGAACAGTTGGTATGGCTTTGATTTTGAAAAAAAATATAAAATTGAAAAATTGCATTCGAAAAATGTTAAGAAAATATTATGAAATTCCGACATTCATTTTGATAAAAATGAATAATCAAAAAAATGATAAATATTTTTATGATAACGTTTTTATCAGTAATTTAAATTATCAATTTGATACGACGTGGTAGATAAATGATAACACAATAATAACAAATTAGTGATAAAAGATAACCACCGACGTTCGTAATTAAGCTTTTTAACATTTCGTAGTTTTCAAAATTTCTAATTAAAATATTTATACAAAAAATCTAGTCTTTTGAACATTATGGACAAAACAGCTGTTTTTAAAGCTTATGTAAAAACTATAAAAACTAGAAATAGAGCTTTTGGATCACCAGTACCTCAAACGGATATCTTAAAACAACGTAAGCCACGTCGAGATGACTTTTCACGTAGAGCTAAGGATATTGTCAATGATTTAGCTAAATTAAAAGACTTTTTGGACCGCCATTTTAGAGAGTATATAAATGTCTCTTCTTTTGATCAGCAGACATTGTTAACGGACCCCGATCGTGACAAAATTGATGTTGGAGCACAACATATTATTAAAACATGTAGACAACAAATAAATGCTTTAGAAAAAGATTTAGATGATAGTTATAGTCAAATAAATGATCATAGGATACAGATAGTACGATATGTTGAGTGGCGGCTTAAGTCTGTATCCAAATTATTTGCAGACATGAAAACATCAAGAGCTCAAAGATGTTTAGAATATGATAATGTTTTAAAATTAAGTAATTTGGCTAATGGATCTGAACGACTGAAAGAAACCAAAAATTCTTTGGCTGTTGAAAATGATGCTGTAGACCGTTTACATTATGCTAATCATATTGAAGAAGAGTTATCACCTGAAGAGCTACAAATGTTTGAGGCAGAAAACATAGAAATGTATAATGAGCTTAATCAACTGTCTAATGAGGTAGTATTTTATAAAATTGTTTTTGCTTTATTTTTGATTGACTAGAATATTTTGAAATTTTTAGGTTAGGAACATAGAATCTAAAGCTGTTAGAATCGCTGAACTTCAAGAGTTATTTATGGAAAAAATTATAGAACAAGAACTAGATCTTGAAAGGATTGATGCAGTAGCTGTAAATACAACTGAAAATATTGTTGATGCCAATACCGAAATACGATCAGCTATACAAACTAACGCTGGTTTAAGAGTTTACGTATTATTTTTTATTTTAGTATTATCATTCACACTTTTATTTTTAGATTGGTATAATGATTAAACTGGATTAAAAATGTGCTTTGTTATAAGCTTTAGGTTCAGTTTATAATAATGATAATACTTATTCGGTGTTCAATTATCAATTATTCATTTAAAAAAAAAATTTGATTTATTTTATTTGAGCAATAATACTTCTTATTAAATTCAAAATTATTGTAGTTATTTGTTGCTGTCAAAAGTTAAATAATTTTTATTTACAAAAAATGTTAATGTTATTATTAGTCTCCTTAAATAAATGAGATCTTTAATAGACATCATATTTAAAAAATAGCAAAGATAAATTTATTAAAGAAGTTTTAGCTTAATAATAATTTAAGCAAACGTATCATGTCATAATTTCCATAAATTGTAAATTTTAAGTATAATTTATTTAATATATAAATTTAAAAATTGCATATTATGCACATTTTACTTGGATGCCTTATGCACAATTTCAAATTGATTGTAAAAGAAGTATTTATTGTATTTCAACTAAACATAAGTAAATAAAATTGGCTGTGATTTATCAAATGTAAATAATACAATATATTAAATTTAATTTCACTTTATTAGTTACATGTAACACTTAGAATATACATTCTTAAGTTTGTCTGGGATTGTTTTAATTGTACTAAATATATACAATAGGTTTGTTGTAATATTACTTTCTAAAAACAAAAAAATGCAGTTTATAATTTATACTTGTACATACAATAATAATATAAATCATAAATAGTTCTTTTTTTTTTTTTGAAAAACTTTTCATTAGGAAAAAATATAAAAATAAAATAGAGAAGATAAGTGATAATAAGGCAATTGGTTACAAGAATGAAAATTGTTTAGGCCCAAATTTTTATTGAAGGAACATAAATTTTAAATGCCAATTAAAAGCAAGTGGCAATATTGTGTATGCAAATAATTCTAATACTGAGAAGTACCAGTAACAGTTATTGACACATATTATAAAGTGAGCCTTAATTGTTTCACAATTAAAAAAAAATTACTTGTATATATTTATGTATATATATATATATATATATATA